GTTACTTTAATAAGACTTTAATATGACGAGATGATCTTCAAAAATCAACCAATCATAATAAAGCCCGCTATGCTGTTCAGACTGTGTTCATGTTATACAATATCTGAACAACCTATCGGTTTGTTACACTGTTATAAATATAAAGAGTGTTTGTTCCATCTGTGCGTTATTGGCACACTTATATAATCAAACATGAACAAAATTCCATTCTTTAATAAGAAAGACAAAGACAAAGACAAAATAGAGACTTTTAATTTCGAAATTGATGGAGAAATTTTTGCCAAATCGTTTAAATCGGATGTGAAACTTGAAGATGTGCGAAAAAAGTTGGCAGAAAGACGAGATAACTGGAAAGCAGAAAAATTTCTGTTTAATCAAGATAAAAGACGAATATATCATGAGGATGAATCCGATTATACGTTAAATAAACTTCGTAAATCAAACATAATTTTTATTGAGAATCTATTAAAGGAAATTAAAGTTCATGTTAACGGTGAAAAATTAACGCTCTCACTAGACCCTGAAGATAAATTAAATGATATTCGTACAATACTTATTGAAGAAGGTAAACTTGAAAAAGTATTCATTAATGATATTAATGATGGAGTAAATGAAAATAATAAAGATTTCAAGTTCAGATGGGAGAACGGAAAATCCGTTAGCGAATCTGAAGTTTATAATAACAGTTTGAAAGAAATTTTAATAAATAATAATAAGTTGTACATTGTCATCCTACAAAAAGGCAAGGTCATGATTTACAGTGGTCACAGTGAGACTCCTAACAAACCACATAGGCATAATTTAGATAAAGGAAAAAGTCTTACTGAAATTCGTGAAGAACTCGAAAATACATTGATAGAACAAAGTCATCTTTATATGTGTTCAAATTGCTGTTTTCTAGACCAAGACAAAGCTCGTATTTCTAAATCCGAAGAAAATAATTTAAGACTAGGTGAAATTTTATCAATTAATGAAGATGGTAATGATGTTCTAAATATTATTCGTGATACTTGTCAAAAACATGAGCACGATTTAATCAATCTGATTGATAAGTGCGGATATGGATTTGTTATTAAGAATGGTTCGGTAGAACAGGCCGTACGTCGTGCATTTAAAATCGTAAATACACCAAAATATCGATTTTTAGATGATGGATATGAAGAAAACTCATTCGAATGTAAAAATGAATTTAGTGATCTATGTGAAAGAAATTTTATTACGTTTGGAAATGTCAATACCTCTATCTTGCCGTGGGTTTCAGTTTTTTTTGGAGTTGATTACAAATCCTCACTTAAAAAATTAAAAAATCATAGAAATGCCATGAAATATTCATATGTAAAGTTGAGGAAGGCGTATATAAACATTGCAAAAAATAACATTACTGCAACTACTGAGTTTATTGATGAAGTTAAAAAAGCATTAGAGGAAGAAACTCGGGATAAAAAAGTAGAAAAACTTAAAAAAATTGCAAAAGATTACGGCTACTTTTATGCAAGTTCTGTTTACTTTGGAGGTGTTATCGTTGAAAGGCTAGAAGACGTAAAGCATTCAGGTACGTTGAATCTATTTATTATTTTAAATCTTATTATTCTCGATATAACCTTTAAACATTTAGACAAATACGAAAAATCTAAAGAATTGGATATAACAGCTAATAGTAAGCTAAAAGTTGAAGCCAATACTGGTGCTACCTTGAAAAGAACAAAAGGGAAAGAAAAAGTGATAGATACCACTAACTTTAATCGCACTGTAAAGGGAGGAGACGATTCTAAATTTAAACCAGAAGACCGCTCCGAATGGATCAATTCAATTAAAAATTCTGAGGATTGGAAACTAATTGAATATCACGAAATCTACTCTATTTTTAGCTTATTAGAAGAAAAATTGCAAAAAGACGTTATAGAAGCTTTGGGAAAAAGAATTTTGAAAGGTAAGGAAATTATTTTATTTCTGATTAAATTGTTAGAAAGCTACAATTCTTATCTTTTCGAACTAAATAGTGAAAGTCGAATCTATTCAATTCTCAAGCAAAAATAATCAATATGTATATGAATTAAGCAATAAATTAGATTGTATCCATAAAAATCGTATAAAAGATTGTCATATATTCACTACAGTTTTGAAAAAAAACAAAGATAGGCATATATTTTCTTCATGTGTATCTTACGATGGTCGTCCAGACAAACCAAAAATCATTATTACTCGTGTTCCTAGTAAAAAAAAGCCTACCATTGGAAAAGAATTTGTTATCCAAATTGGATGGATGGTAATAGGATATCCGACTGATACTTTCGACTTCGAATTATCGCATCAAGTTGTAATAGAGAGTGAAAAGTACAAATTAAATGATCAATATATTGTTGAAAATATATCCTATCAAAATAACTTGGAATCCATGAATAAATATGCATTAACTACATGTGTTTTAGACCATATTGAAACAACATCTTTACAAGAAGAAACAAAATTTTTACAAGAAACACCTTCATTGGAATCTTCACAAGAGATAACTTTTTTGCATGAAGAGACAACTTCTTCACAAGAGACTTCATTGAAAGAAGAGACAATATCTTCACAAGAGATAACTTCTTTGCATGAAGAGACAACTTCTTCACAAGAAGAACCTTCAACGCAATCGTCAAAGAATAATATATATGATTCAAAATTAGTAGTTGGGTCTCATATTTTCTATCCATCGGATGCTGCGTGTTTATTTGCTTATTGTTCTGAAATGTATAAAACACGATTAGACAGCAATCAACAACCACTGCTTCGATTCTTAAAATTATTTATTTGGTAATTACTGAATTAATGCATTCTTTTAGCATACTAAATTTTAATGATTCATATAGGTTAATTAATTTGTCTTTGTTTATAGCACTATTTACATTAAGCAAGATTTCGCTGTCAAAGACTTTAAACAGAAAAAAGTCAAATGGAATAATAAAAGTCCAACAAAAAAATCAAGTGTCTGGCACTCGAAAATAGATATGAAGAATATTAACAAGAGCCTGATTGATAAGGCTCTTATCTTTATAGATAAAGCTTATAATAAGTGTCTAACGAAAAAATCGACTATCCAATGCTCAAAAACAGATAAATATAATGTTAACAAGGATCCTATATTTATAAATCAACTTTTTAGCGATACATATCCTAATAATAGTGATTGTCATGGAATAATTAATGTTTCTCCCGAACATTTTCAGCTTAGAATATTAAATAATAAGTTTGCAACAAAAAAGCCTGAAATTTCTTATTTCCGTATTCCTCAAGAAATGAATGTATTTTACTCATAGAGTAGTTACCTAAAGTAAAATTTCAGGAAGTCAAAATTTATTGATAATACATTATTTATCAGGTATTCATTCTTTCATGTTATTAGCCCTGTGAAAATTAGGGATATTTATGCAAAATTACTTGTATCTTTTTTTTTTTTTGACCTTTAATATACTAAAAATACGTAAAAGTTTACAAGTTGTATATCTGATTTGGGCTTCTATTTTCCAGGCTTATTTGCTTTGTCACAGTCATGTAGGGATGAAAAAAAACGGTTTAAACAGTTTTTTAGATGTTTTAAAACTTTTTAAACCACTTTTTAAAACATTGGCGCTGAGACTAAAATTTAAATTTTATACTAAAATGCCGATTCACCAAATTTCATAGAGATAACTTTTAAAGAAAAAAAATATTCACTTTATAAACTTTGCTTATTATATAATTACAAGAAATGCGCAATTGCTTAAATATTTATATAATATTTTTTTCTTTATTTTTTGTACGCTTCTTTTAATATGCATAACTATAAATTTCTATAAATTTAATTATCGTCAACCATCAATCTCAGCTCCTTTTTAAATTCTTAAATTCTGATAGACTGCAACAAGTTTTTTTACCCGTTCATTATTTAATAAATTTTTCATAC